GTTGAAGTATTGACATAGTATAATAAAGGATAAGGATACAGTAGATAATCTCAATAGGACTTTATAGAAAGTTAAGTAGGATAGAGTTCAGAGCACCGAATATGGCTGAGATTCTGAGTTCAATAGGGATGGATGGATTTTTTCCCCCTGACCTTTACCAGTCATGGCCTCCTAATAATTCCTAGATATGAATTGATTTCATTGCTATGCTCTCCTCCCCACCGATAGCTGATGTGTGGTGAGCGTTCTGGCACACTTTGGCTGCCGGCACATCATCCAGGTGGGGCTGCACACTGGTGGTGGTGGAGGGGAGTCCCCATTACCTATAAAGTGTTTTGAGTGAAGTGTCTAGAAATGTGCTATACAAGTAGAAACAATTATTATTATTTGGGGGGCATAGCAACAAATGACCTTGTCAGCCAGTGGCTGTAGACAAGCAGTGAAAAAACATGAAACCAGAATATGATGAGGATAGTTTGTGTGGAGGGAAGTAAACAGATAACATATCAGTAAGATACTGGAAAGCCAAACCACGCAGAGCCTTGAACAAAAGCAGGAGGTTTTAAAATCAATCTGAAACCTAAAAGAAAATCCATTTAAGGACTCCCAAGGCAGGAGTGATGTGATTATGCACACAATACATGCTCATTATCCTAGCTCAAAATTTTGAGAATATAGTGACTTAAGTGTGGTTTTGAATACTTAGATGCTGCACACCATACAATGCAGTCATGGAAAATTTCTTAGATGAAAAAGCTCAGTGTTTACAATATTGTGCACCTGATGTACATGCGTCAATTCAGGGTCAAAGATCACCTCCAAATTCTTTATTTGGGATCAAAGCTCAAACACAGCTGACACACTTATAGATTTGGATTTATGATCAAATGTTTTCAGACTTATCACAGTTGCTATCAAAAGTATATATCTTGCCTTGTATATTCAGCATGAATACTTGTATGATGCTGTGGGAGTTATTTTAAGAATGCACTGGTTTGATACAGTACAGTTCTGCTAATGTTTTATGATGAAACAAGACCTTTCCAGTTAATTCACTACATCCTATCCTGTCTTAGAATTCATGGATATACAGTAACTATTGATGCATAAAATACAGCGAGTGACAGACACACTTGCCACTGTGCTTTGTTCACATGCGGAAAAGAACAACAATTACATTAAACTAACAGTTGAGATCAACAGATCAGAACAGAAGCTGGTCTGTCTGCTTCAATATCAGGGTCTTCCCCTTTTTCTAGCAACAATTTCTTGTAGCAGAAGTACCCTGGCTTTGAAATACCGACAGGGAAGTTTTGACTTTGACTTTTAGGCTTCATGGAATAACATGATTAAATAGCAGTTGCGTCATAATAGATCCACAGTCAAAGTTGTTGTTGTAGCAGATGAGAAACTGGTATTGTGGAATCCTGTTCCGCAAACAGAATTAGTTGGTCACAAAAGCAATTTGTTTAGTTTTGCCCTAAAAAAAAACCATTCAAATTCAAGCAAAGTCGAGAAAAGGTTTTTAGCTTCTAAGTCTACCATGTCTCCTAACACTATCTTTAGAATATAAAATGTACAAACACAAATGTATGAAATTTTAATAATGAATGTTTTAGGTTGTGGGGTCTCTGAAAGCAAGAGTCCCTGTTGGTGTTCTGAATGCAAGAGGAGGTGGTTAGAATGTCTTTATATGAACTGGGCATGTTTTTAGACGATGTTTGATACTGGGCATGTTTGATATTGATTCATCAAATTTGATTAATAATTCATGACTGACCAGAAAATATAATGACATTGCGTAAGTAATAAATCACTTCATTAGTGAGAGAACTTGAATGGCCACAGCTGATGAGGTAATTTAACTTGTTGAAAGTCAATCTTGGTGTAATAAATCAAGAATGAAAAACGCAGAACAGACAATATGTATTTACCAGGGGAACAATGTCTTCATGCCATTAGTATGTTGAAGGCTAGATGATTATTGTTCGCCATCCCTGCAGAATTAAAATCCATTAATGGTTAAAAGCCACGTTCTGCTCACCAGGCTTGTACTCTGTCTCAAACATCCAAGACATCAGTTATGATGATGTGTGTCATGTAGAGCTTAGAGGATAGTGAACAGCCACATGCTTGACAAGACTCTACAAAAGACGTGCTAATCTCTGAACCCCCTGTTGACCCCCTGTGGATGAAAACTATTAATCAACATAATGAATTTACATGTCTCCTGTCTGTTCAATAAAACATTAATGCTCTTGCTAAAGGCTACATTCCAGGTGTTCAATCAGTTATTCACCACTACATTTTCAAGAACCTTAGCAAGTAATGGAAGACTGGACATTGGTCTGAAATGACTAAAATTAACTTTCTGAATGGACAGGAATAAGAAATGTTAAGTCATTGCACCATACGAAATCCTTAATGCTTACATTTTCTTTGATTTAGGTGAACACCTTGCTGTAGTTAAGACATGCTTATTTTCTGAAAGAGATTAGATTAGAAAGGGAGCTTTATCAGCATGTGAGGCTGTGGAGGATCAGTGTTAAAGTTAATTCCACGTTAAAGCTTTGAAGAAGAAAAACTGAAACGTTTTAGCTGCGGAGTCTTCTTCAGGTGTAGAGGAAAGGGAGAGAGCAGATGTATGAGGTAGAGGGGTGGGGTGGAGGCAAAAAGAAGAAGGGCGACATCGAAAAGCAGGCAGATTCCAGGGGAGGTCTGGATGGCAGCAATCTGGAAATGCACTGAAAGAGTCAACAGATTTGTCAACCACTAAGTGCTGAATGAGTATATGAAGCACGTTGAAGGATTCTTTTGGATTTTGAAACTTTCTAACATTGAGGCAATAGCCCTCACTGCTCTGTTTTATTGTATGAAACAGATGACCGGTCTCTTTCTGGTTTGGCAATGTTGAAGGCAGGGTGCTTTATGCCAGACAATCACTAAATGAGATTGCTGGATGTTCCAAAGGGGCTGTTCATGTGTACTGTATGCTGTTTGTTATGTATTTGCAGGCTTCTGTTGCAGGGAACTGTGGACAAGAAGGCTGGTTGAGATGACATTCAGGGGACATTCTGTAAAGGAGCTGTTTTGTTGGATGGTGTTAGTAAAGGTATCAAAAAGTGCAGTTTTGAGTTTGGGTTTTCCTCCTGAAGCTGATGTTTGTGGTTCAGATTAGGGCTCTGTGTCGTCCATAATGAAAAGGGACTGCGTTGTAACAGCCTCCTTACAAAATTACAGGTTTTGTCCTTTACCTGTCAACCACATCGATGTTCACAAGCGGCGTTTTTAAGTTAAAACAGCATCCTATATTATTATTCATGCTGTAACTGTTATTTTAGGGGTTTTAGATGATTACGGATTAATGGATGAAGCACACCAGCGGGGTTGCTTGATTAATGTATCCATAATTGACTAATCAAGTCCGAAACACGGATTAAAGCGAGAGTTGAAATGACCGGCGACAGGGAGGTGACACTCTCCTTTAAAATTGCGAGTGAACTGCTAATAAGCTTTTATCAATTAAACTGTGTTTTCAACTTGGAAAAAAATGCTTTTCTTTAATGGCTGAAAGGATAGCGATATAACCCCGTCTTGTAAACTGTTCATTAAAGATGCCTTTTAAACACTTGGTATCTTTAATTGCAGTTGCATACATGATCTAGATACTGTTTCGATAGGGTTCCCATTATAGTGCTTCTTGTCTTGTTCTTCGAGGACCGCTGTGACGGTTATATTACAAGCACCAAAAAAAGTTTTGCATGGTTACTGAACGGTTTGTGTGAAAATGCGTCTATGAAATGTTAAACCTAAAATGAATCCATGGATGTGGATGTAAAGACAACCAACTACGACTGCAGTATACTGTACTCCACGAAACTTTTCAGTGATGATAAAACGGTGGGAAAATGGCTGTGCTACGGAAATATGACCATTATCTGGCTCACGTACATGCGAGCATTTCTAATTTCTTGGGAATACAAACCAGCTCAAAGAATAAAAGCGAAAGACCTTCTCAATTGTTAGTAAAGTATTTATGTGCAGTTTGAATAGATTGATATTGTAATATTCCTGTACGCAGGTGGTACTTTAACGGACTGAGAAAAACCTCCTTCTATCTGTAGTTCCTTAATGGTATCTGACCTACAGTATGGATAAAGACCGCTAGAGGGCAATATTTAACAACAAAACTCCTTTTAAATACTTTGTCACATTGTAAGACGGTCGATTAATCGATTATTTATTGAACATATGGGGAAATTAACCGATTAAAAGAATGTACCATAACTGATTTTTATTTGAATTTATTGTTCAATTTTAATAACTTTAAATAGCAACACATAGGACTAAATCCTAAAGTGTCTGAATGTTATCTGCACTCTAAACAGGCTCTTCAAGTTGAGTTCTCAAAATTGAGTGATTGTTCCTTAAAATAAGACAGTTATTGCTCTTGCCTTTAAAGCTCTTTTTAGATTGGTAGAACTAACCTCAAAATGCCCAGTATGGGAAAAACATGCTCACAAAACTTTAATAATCAAAATATTTTAATAAGTATTTAAGGTAGTTGAATTGTAATTGGGCATCATGGTGGCACAGTGGTTAGCATTTGCTGCCTTGAAGCTGTATGTTCTTCCCATGGTTGCATGGGGTTCCTCAGCGTGTGCTCCAGTTTCCTCCAACAGTCCAAGGAATTAATGGGCTTCTTGGAAAATCGGTCCTGGTGCGAGTGTGTGACTGTTTGTGCCTGTGTGTGTCTTGCGAGGGACTGGCACCTGGCTAGGGTGTATCCTGCCTTGTGCCCGTTGCTTGCCAGGGTAGACTTGAGCTCCCTCGGGATCCTGGATTGGATGAAGCAGCTAGAAAATGGATGGATAGATGAATTGATGAACTGCGAGTGCAAATTGTAATGACATCGGAGATGAGGTTAACATGGGTTCTCTGTGTTTCTGTTCAGCCTCAGCCCAGTGCGTGACTTTTTTTCCCTCTCCCTGTCCCCCCAGGCCAACGAGATGCTCTTCAGCGGAAGGAAGCTGACCGCGCAGGAGGCGTGTGCCAAGGGTCTGGTCTCACAAGTGTTCTGGCCAGGAACGTTCACTCAGGAGGTGATGGTGCGCATTAGGGAGCTAGTCTCTTGTAATTCAGTTGTAAGTCATCTTTTAATTTTTTTTTTAATTTCTGACATTTCACACACTTAATTCTACACTTCATGTGGATCGAACAGAATCCAGTTAAATATCTTTCACATCTCCATACACATTTTTCTTTGAAGTTTTTTTTAGTCTCTACAAAAACATTGTTTTATCAGTCTGTTCAAGACTGTTCTTGACTTTTCTTTAACATTTACTTCATTTCTAAAATCTTAGCCTCCTTTTATTACCTTACTGCTCTTATTTTATTTATGGCAAAATACCACATGAGCTCGTCTTTTTTTCTTCTTGATTCAGTGTTTCCTGTAGCACGAAGCAAGAATTAATCTAAACATATTAGTCTGTCCTGGTGTTAGTTGTCTTCTTACTTAACAATAGTGTCTTTACCTAGAGCTCTCAATTAGAAGTGAAAAAGTAAAGCAATGGTGATTTTCTGTTTTCCTCTTGGAATAGGCTAATATAGGCTACCGTTCAACAGGCTAGAAACAGCACATTATATGCAAATCAGGTATTCAACATAAGTATGTGTTTTCGGTTAGGCAATTATTCTTTATGAGCAAAATAAAAAACAGCTCATAATCATTTACTGGAATTTTGGTAAGTAGAGAGAAATGTTGATGTATAAGAATCATTGCACATTTTAATGAAACCTGCAAAAGCATTCCGGCAACTTGCTTTTACATGCTCAAATAATTTTTCATATTTAAAAAAAAATATTTGCAAATAAGTTCAGCTGAAAAGGAAATCATACTTCTCCCTGTGTAGTTTTAGTGTGCATTGTCCGCATCATGTAAATTGTCATAGGTACTGATTCAGGTCTTTGTTAAATATAAGTGATGACCTTTTACAGATGCCCAGGGTAGCACTTAAAACTGCAGGGTGCTGTGAGAATGACACAGATGGTAAAGTCTGGTGTCCGTAGGAGGTGACCACGTTAACAGTTTCAAGTAAGCAGTGAGGTGAAAATAGCATGCTTGGGAACTCGGGATAAAAACTGGGTTTCACTCACATGATTTATCCATTGTGATGACTATGCAGATGCCAAGGGCATAACAGAAATGTTATCAGTCTAGCCTAAACTTGAAAATAAGTGAATAAAGGTTAATGAACATACAGCAAAACCCAAACCGCCACAGGCATAATTGGCACATTTGCAATTAATGGTCTTGGATCCTCACCAAACCAAGGTGTGGCTCCTCATGATAATACTGTTTGCTGACAAAATAAATGTTCAAACCTAATCACTTATGTGTTTATCTGTCTTTCTTTGTCTTCTCCTTGTGCACCTACATCTACATGTATATGTTTGTGTGTATTAAAACACTTTACCAGACATCCCAAATTCATGCTAGTTTCAAAATGGGGCCAGTATAACACCGAGCATGACATGACTATTGGCCCCAGTTAGCACATTTGTAAATTCAGAAATAAGGAAGTGGTATTATTGTCACACAAGGCACGGAAGTGGGATAAATAAGAATAAAACCTTCTACCATTTTTGAGGGAGATATCATCTTACGCAGATCTACAGCACAGTGACAGTGTGTCCATTGCCTTATCATGGATAGGTTCGCAAAGATGTTAATTGGGTTTGCAGCAACCCCATCACTTTTAGGTGGATTAATGACGGTAATTGTTACTGTGCAGTAGACACACATGATCCCTCTTAATGTCACGGTCTTATTGGTAAAATATATCTGGGTTATTCACAGATGCTTCCTTCTATTGAATAGTTCTGCAGAGTAACGAGTTGGATATATAGAGCCCAATTCCCTGCTGGCTTTATGTTGCAATCTTCCTGACAGTATTACAAGAGCACCTTTACTCTCTCTTTCAATCAGTGGCATTGCAGCAGTACAAGAAACAGAAAGTCTGCTTTTCGTGAGTGTTCTTTTAAACTCTCAAGCACGCATTTCCACAGCTTTTGTTACAATTAACAGTGGTGGAAGGAAGGGGTGTATATTAATCGAAAAATATACATAGTTACATATTTAGTTACTTACAGTTAGCCTTTATGCTTTGTAGTGCAGGGGCCCTGACTAATTCTGGACCTGGAGTGCTGTCTGTGTGGAGTTTGTATGTTCTCTCTCTGTTCACGTGGGTTTTCTCTGGGCATTAGTTTCCTCCCACTGTTCAAAGACATACTGGGACGCAGTGCTGTTTCTAAGCAACAAAAGAAGATACAAGACAACTTCTTTAAAAACTTCTGGACATTCTTTCCAACCTGTTTTTAATTTGAAAAATTCCCCTGACCTTCACTCCAATGAAATTTTGTGAAATGAAATTAACAAGACATAGAAAAAGAATCCATCAACCAGATTAAGAACTACAAAAAGTGACCATTCAGCACACCTGTTTGGTAGTTAAGTAGCTAATTTATCAGAGGATCTCATTCAGCTGTATCATGAAGGAAGCCGGGGTATCAATTTCAGCCACATGGCTGGTAGCTTGTTCCATATTAACACTTTTAAAAACATTAAAAAAGAGTTCAAACATCTTAGGATATAAGGAGAGCTGATCACTGCTACTTCTGTGCTTACAGTACATGCAGCTGTATTATTTACAGTGGATTTTACTGTAATATGTAAGACAATCATGTCCTTTCTTTTCATATTTTTATAATTAATTAATCTTTCAATTAAATCAACTGATCACACTAATTCTCTCCTTCATTGTAGTAAACTCATGTTAACCTGCTGTGAATGTTTTCAGTACTGTATGTACAGGCAGTGTTGAAATGCCTCTCCCCATTATAAAAGCACATTTAATCAAAATAATTCATTTTATTTTTTCTGATGTTAATCAGGCTTTCTAATGGCTATTTTAACATAACCCTCACTATGGTTTTCAGTTTTGTTTAGTTTTAGATTGACAATAACTTTTTTTTCAGAAAGAAATGTTAGCAAAATTGGAAAGTTTGTCTTTAAATATTTACCCAACTGCTTAAGTATTTTTTCCCCTAGTTATAAGATGCTTTTTGTCAGTTTCTAAATTGCCAAGAGAAAATTGATATTTTATTTCCCATAGAGATTTGTACTGTGTGTTTGTCAGATTGGCTAGGGAGACCTTGGCCTACCAGCACAGTTACAGCAGTGAACAAATGTTATCTTTTTGTTTTAATCACTGAGAGAACATAATTTGTACACACATTTTTGTGCTATATTCTGTCTACAGCATAAGCGTTTAGAAAACAGTGTTATTTCTTTAGTAATATGCTCCACAATCATATTTGTGGTTTGGAAAACAAGAATATTTCTCATTGTTAGTAGTATAGTAGTTAAAAAGTTATTTCATTAAATTAATGCATACCCTATTGTATTAATATTAATCAAACATTAACAGTATATAAATTGTTTTAAAAAATCAAATGTGCAATGTTTTCCACATCACCGTTTTAAGCAGTTTTATATTATATTACAGCTACGTACTGAAATTCCAGATTTGCTGTTTGAATAATTCAAAGCCAGCAGAATGTGGGTTTATTGACATTAGAGTCAAACATACAGGTCATAGCTATTTTGTTTTCCGAAATTTGCTTAAATCGTTACTGAACTGTAACATGTTTGAATAATATATGACTGTAATAGAGATTAACGAGGCCCATGGTATTAAATTTCAAGAAAAAAAGGCTATGGAAAATATTTTCTGAATGGAGGTTTTGTTCAGTTACTTACAGAAGCATTCACATATGCAATATTCATATAATGTGATTTTTTTTCTCAGTTCTTGTAGATTTTCAAATTTGAAATGAAAACTGCATTCACACTAGGTCTGTTTCAAACACTGAAATTAGATGAATACTTTGAACTGTTAAACTAAAATATAAAAAGTAAAATGCTTAAAAATAATTTTACTAATTTATTTAAATTCAGTTGTTTTACATATCTGATACATTAAAAGGATAAAAGTGTGAAAGTTTTGTTCCTATATCATTTCTTATTCCACCTCTTAATTACAAATATTAACAATGTATTTTAGACAGAGCTCTCAGTAAAAGTGAAAGTGCTTTTCAGATGAGGATTGGGTTATCAAAGGGCTTCCCATGAACACGGGCATGTCGAACCCATCTTTTCAGATTTTTTATCTCATTAAAAAGTATTAGTTTGTCTTGTATTGCAAAATGAAACAAATCTTTTTTATTATTACTAAAATAGAGCCCTCAATGTTAGAGCATGAGAACAGGTTTTGTAATTCAAATAGAAATAAATGCTGTAGACGTTCACAATAGGAGCAAGGTAAGTTCAAAGCTTTACCTTTGATGTAATAAGAGCACAAGTGTGTGTGGTAGGTGGTAGAAGAGGGGTACCCATTAACAGGGCCTCAGAACAGCACAGCGAGTTCCTCTCCTCCTTTCTCCTGCTGTGTGGTCCTCCACCTGCTGCAGCCAGCAGAGGGAATTGGACATGAAATCTTTTCTTTTTCTTCACTGCGGAGAGTTCCATCCTGTTCTGAAGTCCTGTTCTTCGGTTTCCCCACTTGGCTTTTGTACAGATTAAGGTCGGGAGGGCGGCACCTCAAGTGGAAGGGCTGCATCCCCTCATCGTAACGGAGAACATTTTGTTTCCCTTCCCTAGGTCCTCCGGGAATCCAAAGCCCTGGTGCGGAACGCCACAAAGGCAGCCTTGGAGCAGGCTAACGACAAAGAGTGTGAGGTCTTAAAGAGGGTCTGGGGCTCACCGCAGGGTATGGACTCCATTCTTAAATACCTGCAGAAGAAGATTGATGAGTTCTAAACCTCAGAACCACTCCCACACCGGGGACTGTTGTACGCATTGCAGATGTTCAGAACTGGGGGCAAAATTGATTAGCAGTGCAAGCTGAAAAAGTGCTCATCTGTAGGTTTGGCAAGCTTGGGAGCCGAGAATAACGGACTGAAGTGAACGCCGTCCAGCGCCTCAGTCTAATGTGCATGGACCTTCTGAGCTGGTACTTCTGACCACACTTTTAGAATTTGGGTGGAAGCAGGAAGCTGTCTTATTTATAAGGGTGGATTAATGTATATTTTTGTATTAGGATGAACAAGCCTTATGATTAAATTCACAGGAAAAAGGAAATTAGAAAACGGGTAACATTGTGTCCTCTTCTGCAAGGCTCCAAAGGTGAAGATGTAGTTTGTACGCGCTAAGCGGTGGGCAGATTCATTAGAATGAGATGCCTCTTAAGTTCATTGTTTTGCTCCACACATTTCCAGAGTTCAGCGGTCAACTGGCATCTGGAAAAGATTTGTCTTACCATCTTTTTCACCTGCTTTTGATTCATTTGGAAGCCTGAAATATTACTTTCCCAGCATGAAGAAACCACTCACTTTTAATGAAATGCCTCTTCTATTCTGCAGTATTAGATAAATGACAAAAATAAACATGTTGTATCTAATTTTAGCTTTTAATGTAGCTTTTTTTTTATCTGGTTGTATCTAGTTCATAGCTTACCATTGCTGGGCAAGATGAATATACAAAAGAAAGAGAAAAGGAGTTGTTTTCTGTATTTTTCTTTTCTCAGTAGGTTGAATATGTTACACCAAATATTTTGTGTTGTGTAAATGTATTTTAGTTTTACTTAGAAATATTTTATTTAATAAGTTAAAGAAGAAACACTCACATTATTCAAATTCCTTCCAAGAAAACTAGAGAAAAAAAAGCTTCCTTATCTTGATGCAATACATTCTTTGTACTGTTTTTCATTGTAACACCAAGGGCTAGAATCTGCGTTGGTAAGGTCCAAAGTAACACCTTTTATACACTACCCTTAAAGCTGAACCTGCAGTTCGGTGAACTGTAGTGTTGCACTGTTGATTATAGTACAAGCTTATCTGGTCATGTTAGCAATACAGTAATGTATTTATAAAGGCAAACTGGGCAGCAGTACTCTTGCTATCAAGAAGTGAAGTGTTTGAAGTGTTTTGTTGCTAATTGGGCTACATTTGTAATTTGATTCCATAATCATGAAGTCTTTAGATTTTATATCTTTTTAAGATTTAATTTTTGTTGGAAAAAAATCTGAAAAAAATCCTTAAAAGCTTGTTGTGTGTATACGTGCAGTAAAACAATTGGAAGATTTTGGCTAATTTGTTTTGTACAAAAATCAGATTTTAAGAAATACAGAGCAAAAATCACAGTAATCCATACTGTACTTGTGTATTCCCATTTCACAAAAGAATCTGCAATTCTCAGGGTCAGAATGGAAAGTCATTCATATTTAATCGTAATAATATAGATTTCACAAAAGAATTTTCAATTTATTCACATGTACAGTGGCTCATTGTGTATTTAGGGACATAATTTGAATGTCAACAAGTCGGCCTACAAATGTAGCTCTCAAGCTTCCAAACTAATGAACCAACTACACGTTCGAGTTTTACTATACAATAAATAAACATTAGGTAACAGATTTCATTAATATCCAAGACAGTTTTGGATTATTCTCAATTTCTCATGGAATACTTATTTATTGTTATGGTCAGTAAGTAAAAACCCATTGTGCCTTTTGAAGCTACTGTATATATAATTGAATGCTTTCTCTGCAAAAACAAAGGAGTTTATAACGAGATATTTTTGCTTATTCTTAGGGCTCTATGTGAATTCTTTGGTGAATAATACAGGTCTAATTTTGAATTTGATAAAACACATTAGTTTTGATCAGTCCCGAGGAGATTGGAGTGGGATCTTTGAAGGCAATGTGAAAAAGAAAGAAGGAAAAAACAGGGAAGACCTTGTGGTATGAATTATCCCATCAGAGTAAGAACTGTTGCCAATGGAGATGAAGAAAAAATAAATAAAAATGGCACTTTGATCAACTCAGAAATGAAATCCATTCTGCTTGTCTCATTTACATTTGTAAATGATGGAAAAACCTATTTACAGTACAAAAAAGCACAATTTTTAAATCAAGCTCAATATTACCAGAGGAAAGATCAGCATTCAGTTCTTCATGTAAAATTAATTATCTGAAATTCAAGGTTTAATTGAAAATACAGTTTGAAGACTAATGGCTAGTAATGCAAAATACAGAATTTGAGTCTTAGTCAAACATAGAAACTAAAATACTGAAAAATTAAAACTGGATATACCTTAGCTTTCATTGCAAGGATTGCATTTATTTATTCAGGGTATCCAAGTTCAAAGGGGCAACAACTAGTATCTGGCTGTAGATATCAAGTATACATATTAATTCGGTTGAAAGAAATGAACCCTTACTTTTAGAAGAGTATGTCTGGACAATTCCAGTATTATTATTATTTTTTTTTAATCTAGGTAGTGACTTCACATAAGATTTTTTTAAATAAATTGGAAACGGTTTCTGTCTCTCCTGCATTCTGGATGTAATCTAAGAAGTCTTTTATTGTTATAATTGTAATTCGGGATACAGAGCAGAAACGTGATTAGGAGATAAGATTCTCTCTTAGGAGATTGTCTGAAATAAGGGTAAATAATTAAACATGGTGACTTTGGACTCTCTCAACATGGAATCTATACGGCTCTGTCTATATATATAGCACATTATTTATAAATATGGCATTCAAATCCCACCCTAATGTACATAGACATATTCTGCATTCCTTTGAGGAGTGGGTATTGCTCTCTGACTGCAGGTATTGAAAACTACCTGAGATTTTTTGAATTTATCTTGCTGAATGTATGGCAGAGGGGAGTATAAGAGATCCTTTAAATCAAACCTTATTTTTGTACAGTCAAGAGGTTTCTATTTGAACTGACCCCCCACCCCCTCCCCTTCCATTTGCAGCACTGTACAGTCTGTATATCTGCCTTCCTGGATTCTTGGTACAGTATTTTTTCATTTGTGGGACCTATTTTTTGTTGAGTAGTTTGAAACTATAAATATAAATATATATATGTACTGTACAATCTGTAAAGTTTTTATAGATTAATAAGTAAAATATTCAGCTGTGAAAACAAAACTTGTTAAAATAAAATTATTTCATACATTATATACAAAATGTGTGTTTTGTGTGTGATAATGAGAATAACCCTGTGTGAAAGGTCAATAACCCAGCTAATGAGAAACAAATAGCTTTACTAGGTATATCAAGTTGCAGTTTTACTATCTCTAGTGGAATTTGCAAATGTTTGGGAAAAACAGTAGCCTGTTGGTTTAAAGAGCTGGCAGTCTGCAATTATAAAATCATCTAGCTCTCATCATGAATGGCTAGCAATAATTCTGTAGCAGATCTCATGGTGTCTTCAGAATTTGTATTCACATTTTTGAAAAATTGAAAATTTAAAATGGCATCCTTTACTTAAAATGTTATAGAAAACCATTGATATATCGCTTAATTGCCTCCAATTATTAATAGCTTCTAATATGCTAAGGAGAATGAACTAAGATGCTATCACTTTTAACTCAGCAGAAAGTGTATACAATGTTACTGCTGGCAAAACCAATAGAATACTAAAAATGTATTTTATAAACTGAAATTAGTTTTGATTTTATTATGCAATTTTCTGCAATTAAGCATGTGTTTCTATTGTTAATCATTTGGAATACCATTCCTAACATATATGCCTCTAAGCTGTCCTACCAATTTTTAAAAATATTTCCAGTATGATACCCAAACTCTGTAATGCACATGCAGGAATTTACACGAGAGGATTTGATTCTAAAAGGACATGTAGCAAAACAAATTGTATTTAGGATTTTACTTTACTAATGTGGAGAACTTCACTGACTGTTCAAGAATCAGCATGAGGTTGTAGACTAAATTTGCTGCAACAAAAGAAAAGTTTTCTTGGGAATATTAATTTAAGAAAATAGGAAACTACAATCAGTACATTTAAATAGAAACTCAAAGTAACCTCTGTTCTGTGTCTAATTGAAACTGTAACGACATGGCATGAGAGTGGTTTCACAGCTCAAGCTTGTGTGGGAATGCAACAACACTTTGAAAATCAGAACATTTCTTCCAGCAAGTCAGAGAATGAGAAAACATACTGAAATTCTTAACACGTCTTCCTTTGAGAAGAATAATCAACCTTGAGCCTTTTTACAGCCTGATGGTCGGGTATTTCAGCAGAGAACTATCCTTAATTCCCTTGATATCGTTCTCCTACATCCTAATTGGGTTATTTGTGAAATATAACTTCCCAAGAACAAAATAAATATGCAGTAACACTGAGTGGTAAAAAAAATTAGGATGGAACAGAGGACAGTTTAATTTCAAAACAAAATTCAGGTGCAAAATAAATACAAGTCTACAAAATACAATGTATAGGCCATCAAAGTACTGCAAATAAATTCAGCATTGTAAGTTAGATCCCAGAGTATGAAGCCTGAAACAGTGTGTCTGATACGACACAGCATTCAGGACTGATACACTGAGATATTACAGAAAAAAATGGAAAATGGAAAAGAGTTAAAGGTTAAGGTGGACATGCATCATGAGCCCCTGTTGCCATGTATAACCAGTAATCATCGTTTCTGAAGATGACAAAGCTATACATGTTTTCTCCTCCTTTGTGGAAACCATGCTCAGCTGTGCTCCAGGACACCGGGCTGTCTGAAAAGCCATGCACTGTTAAAGTTGACCAGGGTGCAAACTTCGGCTCATCAAAATAGTGCCTAACAGGAAAAAAGCAAACAGTTAAAAAAAACAGAACTAAGTGAAATAACGCGAAGTAAAGAAACCGCAGTATATAAGATGTCTGTTTGGTGGAGGTTGCAATAAATGTTGAGCAAACTGAAGTAATATCTTACACTCATTCCTACAAGTCAAAGTATCTTCTTCAGAGCAGGTAGTAAACATTAGAAGAAAGTCATGAAAAGAATATTGACCTACATGCACAAACTCAACCATTACGTCAGGGGGTGGCAACAATTTTGCTAAATACTGCAACAGATAAAGGAACAAGAACATTTAAAATACGTAAGCAGTTGATGGGGGGTATATCATAAATGCTGCATTACCTTATTTGCTTCAACATCACACCAAAACGTAGGGAGTTAATGGTAGTTTAAGAACAACAGAATAACGTTGTTCACAAAAAACTGATGCACAGTTATGAGAACCTTTTTCCTGAACAACATAATGCATATTTATGATCTCCATCTTACCGTATCTCTTCCAGTAACTGGTAAATGTTCTCTGGGAGCAGGAATCCAGTCACAGTACACAGACAGGCCTTCCCCATTATGATTCTAGGGTCAGGACAGCAGTATGTAGACAGGAAAGTGGAAGCTTCATTGTTGCTGAAAACATTAAAGCAGTTATTTACACCTTGTAGCCAAGTTACTGCACTGCCATTACAAGTTATGAAAAGAATTACATTTTCCAATAAATATGTATAGAGTTTAGAGTATACACATTCTACAAACATTAGTGTAACGGCTTGCTTTTTAAATCTATTTTCCCTCACCTTGTTGTTAATTTTTTTTAAAGTAATTATCTCAGTGACACTAATTTGTAATGCATTACTTGTTAACAGTAGCCTTCTCCAACACTAGTACTAAAGCCCATCAGATCACGTAAAGACATGCTGCCCAATACAGACCAGGATTGTAATTGCCTTTATAACTAGGATATGTTTCTGTCAGGGCTGTTAATGCTGTCATAGAACATGTGGATTTGGGTATTCACCCAGAAATCAAAGAGAAAGCCAAACACTTCTTTAAAACCTTGTAGTGTTATTTACGTAAGAAAATGAGCCACTTTGGTACTAGAGTTTCATTGGGACTGGTGATGAGGATATGACACAGAACTGCTGAAGACTTCCACTTTGTGCACTTGCAAAAAACATTTAGGGGAAAGTGGGCACTCAAATCTCAAAACTTCAAAACTTTACATTCCAATGTAAAATTGTAACTCTTCTTCGGGAATCGTAAAACTCCCAAGTAAAACATGCAAACCAAGCAAATATTGCTAAAACCACTCAGGCAGTTGTTAAATTCTGATAGCACTTAAAATGGCATATCAACCAAAACAACGTCATGGTTTAGTTTAAGAAGCCCGTGTACCAGTGGTCTGGACAGCGTGGATGATTCCTTTTTAAAATACAGGATTAAGCATAGCCTGAAGAGAAAGCAGGCAGCACAGAGGTGCAGTGGTTAGCTTTGCTGCCTCACAGTGCTGGGGCCCTGGGTTCAATTTCAGACCCGGGTGGCCGTCTGTGTGGAGTCTGTATGTATCCCTTGAAAATGGATGGATGAAGAGGAAAATCGAAAATTAACCACAGGCGAAGAACGGAAACCTATAATTTAAAACTAAAAATACCACATTTTAAACTAACTAAAGAGGGATTTCCTAACTTACCATTCAATCCCAGCTGTGACAGCACCCAGCCACTCTACGAACTCCTGGGAATCACAAGACTCCTCTGCTTGCCCTTTCAAGTGCTTGGAGTGAATGACAGGACACGGCACATCGCTCAGTGTCTGTGTGGAGACTGAAGGCTTGTACTCCTTGTACTGATAATCAGTGAAGCAAGACGCTAGTGGGCATTCTTCCTCATCTAAGTGAAATAAGAAGGAAATCATCAGTTCTACTAAAGAGTTACAAACCAGAGTGAATTTCCTAAAAAGTCCTCCTCAGGTGGCTCCTTCTCCCAAATGTTCAAGTCTTCTCCTTCACAGTTAGAGCCTTGCAACCTTTTTAAGTTAAATGTCAAGTTATTTAACTCCTATTGTTTTAGAAAAATACATACAAAAAAAGCACAACAAAGTAAACCTTACGTTCTTTATGGCAGTGGATGATTATAAACCCTTCTGTTGTTTTTTTAACCCAAAAGTTTGATGTTATTAATATAGCGAGAGAGAATTTAGCATTTGGTTGAGAAATTGCAGACTCATAATTCAAAAGGGAGTACAGAACGTACATATAAACTGGTAAAAGAGGCTGTAAACTAAACAGAAGGTGCTGGTACAATAAGGTAGAGTATGATGGTTTAACAAAAAACTATGGCTCACTTGGACACACCCAAAAATAAATGGGCATACTGAAGTTCAAAACAAACTGACAAGTCTGTGTTGTTGATGGATTTTTTATTATTAAGTAATTTAGTGCTTAGACTGTATCTGACCAATACAGGCCAAAAGGCTTCCCCTCGAAGGTTGTTTTTATGTATAGTAATTGACAAAGGGACCTGATAAGCACAGGAAATGAGGAAAAAAAGACATGAACCATGCTATTTTGCTAAGCTCTGGTAAGAACTGTGTGTAAAGCATGAATAATCTGCTGCAGTTGTAGCTACACAGGAGAAACATATTTTGTTTCTTTACCTGGCTTGTGCTTTGCCATTAGGAAATCACTTCTAAGCTGCACCTTTTCCTTCAGAGCCCACATCACACGTTTATACTTGTTTGTGCCAGGAGCCAAAGACTTATCAGCGAGATCAACGGTAATAACTGGGAAAAGGGAAACAAAATCAGATCCATGGAAGAAGAAAAGGCATGAATACTGTAAAAAACTAACAAGTAATAGATTTTTTCCATGCTGAAAAGAGAAGAGAGGAAACGCAACGTTTCGGCTGTGGAGCCTTCTTCGGGTGTGTGTAAAAAACTAGTTCATCACAAAGAATTACAAATATTGAACACAGGTTTTAGTGCACTATGAACTGCTTGAATTAAACTCATAGTTGAATTAAACTATGAGTTTTTGCAAAACAATTCTATATTGTATACTGTATATACATTGTCACCAAAAACACAACCTCCAGCCATAATGATATATCATCCTGCAGCCATATCACCCTGCAACTCACAACTGAAGCTAAGCAGGTGTGAGCCTGGTCAGTACCTGGATGGGTGACCTCCTGGGAAAAACTAAGGTTGCTGCTGGAAGAGGTGTTAGTGGGGCCAGCAGGGGGCGCTCACCCTGCAGTCCCTGTGGGTCCTAATGCCCCAGTATAGTGACGGGGACACTATACTGTAAACAGGTGCTGATCTTTGGATGAGACGTAAAACCGAGGTCCTGACTCTGTGGTCATTAAAAATCCCAGGGCGTTTCTCGAAAAGAGTAGGGGTGTAACCCCGGCACCCTGGCCAAATTTCCCATTGGCCCTTACCAATCATGGCCTCCTAATAATCCCCTTCTATGAATTGGCTTCATTACTCTGCTCTCCTCCCCACTGATAGCTGATGTGTGGTGAGCGTTCTGGCGCACTATGGCTGCTGTTGCATCATCCAGGTGGGGCTGCACATTGGTGGTGGTGGAGGGGAGTCCCCATTACCTGTAAAGCGCTTTGAGTGGAGTGTCCAGAAAAGCACTATATAAGTGTAAGCAATTATTATTATTATAATAAACTTACAAACATAAGGCAAAAGCAGTGAACGTGAAGAGTGAAAATCACATTATTATACAACATTAAAAAGAACACCAAAGCAAAGCTAAAATAAGAGAAATTACATTTACTAAAACTGGGTCTAGCGTGAGTGTCTGCGTGTCTGCATGTCTGCGTCTGCCCGGTCATGGACTAGAGTGTCATCCAAAGTGTATCCTGCCTGCGCTCGGCGCTTCGGGCCACTGGGACCTCGAATTTAATAAACAAAAGGATTTGGAAATCTGGAGAAAAAATAAATTGCTGCCTCACAGTGTTGGGGCCCTGGGTTCAATTCCTGGGGTGCTGCGTGGAGATTGTATGGTTTCCCCGTGTTCAGAAAGGTGCTCTGGTTTCCTCTCACGCTTCAAATACATACTGGTAGGTTTATTGGATTCTGGGAAAACTGGGTCTAGTGTGAGTGTCTGCATGTCTGCGTCTGCCACCGCGGTCATGGACTGGCGTGTCATCCAAAGTGTATCCTGCCTGCGCTCGGTGCTTCGGGCCACTGGGACCTCGAATTGGATAAGCAGTAACTGAAGGTAAAGGAGACTTCAATATAAAGAAGACCTCTTTCAAACATATAGTTTGCATGTGCAACCTTGCCAGCATGCATTTCCACCACCTCGGCACAGCACGGCCAAGCCACTACTCACCATATCTCACAGGCACCTTGTGGTTATACTGTGACGGTTGGCCCTCCAATCCTAGGTCCTCGTAGGTGTCTTTATCAAGAGATAAAACTAGTTTTCCTGCAATTAAAAGGCATTTTAGTTATTAAGGTAATCATAGAAAAACTACCCGAATAACAAGATGTTTTCACTTTTCCTTCCTTTACTACTGTTCCCACGCCTAAAAACAGATATTCTGTGCTACAATTGAGAGCATTTCACACATTTACTGCTCAAGTATGGCACAGGGTCGTACACAGGATAAAAGGATTACAAACAATCAACATATGGTCTTCACGGACAGGCATATTCATGGAGTTCTGTCTTTCATCAAGTGTAAAATCGTCTTGATCTATCTTACCCGTTGGAAGAAGTGCAAAAGTGTTGTCTTGGTCTATTCTGGTTTTGTATGACAGAGCACAGAGGGATCCTGCAATTATACAAAAACTTTCAAATCACATGCAAGAGTCAGAACTACAGACATCAGGCACACTGAAAAGGGCACTCACACACACAGAGGACTGCTTAAGTTTCCCACAGATTCCAAGCACTGTGCATAAAGTGCCTTCATCTAACAGTATAACACACAAGGCCAAGCAACCAGATAATGTCTGACAATAATCATTGTCATAGTATTCCATTTTGCATTTGGTGTGAATATAGTATCCATATTGATGCTACTCATTTTAATGCACAGAACACTGCGCCTTAGGAATGGGAAGACGTTCACATGAACGAGCAGACAGATTTTTTCTTTAGGGAATCAGAAGTGGTGTGTCTTCAATCTCTTTCTCAGAATCAATCATGGGAATAAACGACTGAACCCGACCACTAATAAATTCAAACTCCAGTGAATATTAAAACAGGTCTACCTGCTTTCACCTGCTTTTCAAGAAACTTCTCTTCCAGTATTTTATAGATGGGGAAGTTCTTCACCAAATAATATTTTGCAATGCTATTCACAATGCTTTTTAGCCCCGATGGTAGTGTTCCACACTCAGGAATTAAAACAGAAACCTGTTAAAAAGAACAATCAAAAGGGATAATTTAGGATATACAATTCCTATTTGTCAGATTTTTAGCAAAAGGCATAAATGCATATGAATGAGGCGCTGCATCAACTTGCATTTGCTATAAAAAAAGAAGGAAGAAGAGGGTTAATCCACACTGAAAACAGAAACATTCTGGCCCTTGAGCCTTCTTCACACCTGGATATTTTTCAGCATGGGGAAAGTAACATTTACTTGTACCAAAATACATATGTACACACTTGTTTCTGCCAGAAAACAACTTCCCCTGACCAAACATTTCTACAGTCCACACTGATACAAAAACAGTTTAATCTTAATCTTAATTTCTGCTTTATTTCTGTTCGTTTTCTGGAGGCAGCTGGTTCTACTGTCCCAACACACTAAAATCACCTTTGATTGGTGTTTGTAAATCCACAAAAGCGATTACTATGTTTTCTAAAGGATGGTTTGAAAAACAGAAATTCAATTCAGATTTCTGATACGATGGAGTACATAAGATGCATAAAATGAAAATGTGCATGTCAAACTAATTTCACACTATAACAGAAGAATTTATAACAACCAACCTGTTTTCTAAGAAACCAATGTATTGCTTTTAAGTGACAAAACTGATGGCACAACTGGAATTCATAAAAACTGAACCTATGAACCTTAACAATATTCAGTTTTTTGTGATGTGTTTTTGTGATGTAGAAAAATGTTGTATGAGAACGTAAGAAACGTTACAAATGAGGGAAGGCCATTTTTGCCAATATATTTAATTCGGTTGGTCATAAGTCAATCCAAGGATCTTATCCAGGCATTTCATGGAAGAGCAGATGGCATCAGAAGCTTGTTCCAGACACCCACATCCTTTTGTGTGAAGAAGTGCCTCCTGTTCTCACTTTAACCTGCACTTCTGCTTAGACTCCACGTATGTCTCCGATTCATGTTTCAGTGTTAATTCTGAAGAAGCACATAGGTTAACTTTGCTAGTGCTTCTGATGATACAGTGGTGCAGAGGTTTGCATTGCTGCCTTGCAGTGCTGGGGCCCTGGGTTCAATTCCTGAGGTGATATCTGTGTGGAGTTTATATGTTCTCTCTGTGTTTGTCTGTGTTTCTCCCAGTTGCAGTGGACTGACATCCAGTCCAGAGTGTATCCTTCCTTGCACTTGTTGCTGGCTAGGATAGACTCTAGCTCCCCTGTGTCCCTGAATTGGAAGAAGAAGTTAGAAAACACCAAGATGTACGAATTCAGTAAAATCAAAATTCAAAATAAATTCTGTACTGTAGCAGAATCACCATAGGTCAGTCTTTAGATACAAGTGGATATGATTTGTAAATACATCCGGGCATTTCAGACCTTTACTCTGTCCGTCTTTATAAAAGCCAATATTTTTTCAACATAGGTTACAAACAGCATTTCTGTCTGACGTCACCGTTTCCTGTTCTGTCACTCGAAGATTAATTTGCTAATGACATCTGTCTCTGAACTAAAATCGTCCTTGCAAATTCTACAGCCCACGACTCTCAGTATTTTTCACTTGAAGCTGCCCCAGTGCAAGATGCATACACTCTTATTATATTTAAATACTGTAAGAAAACAATCTACCAGGAATGCATAACGAAATCAGACTTGAAAAGGTGCCCTGGAATCACTTATAAGACTCCAAATTACCGGTAGGATTTCTCGATTCTGCTAAATCAAAGACGTAAGCACATGAGTGGAAGAATCTATCAGGAACATAGAAGCAAAAAGAAGACAGAGATGATGTGGTATGCACGAATTCTGCTTATAGGACTCTGGTGGTTTGGAATTCTGGAGGTTCTGGCTCATTTTCAGTTTCTGTTCATTTCATGCAGCTGTTCCCTGGAGACAACAAACTGTAAATCAGATCTTAATCTGTATAGCCTTTTAGCGCAGACTGTCTTATTAGAAGCGACCGAATGCTTTTGCTCTTTTGTAAAGTAAGCATATTAAAATATCACCGTTTATTTTTGCGTCTGCAAAAAACATCACGTTTTCAACACTCAACACTCAACACTCACCACTCACCACTCACCACTCACCACTCACCACTCACCTTGTAGTTAAAATAGTGACCGGCCACGTGGACGTCATGACGTGACTTTTCATTCAAGAAATTCGATTTCTCACACACCAGTAAATGCCTTGGACACTTCTCCAGGTCAGTCAGCATTGTTAGTCACAAGCACAAAACAGTGCCTTCATCAAAGCTGATTCAACGCGTTACTTCGTTTATGCAAAAGCAAGGCTCAAGATGAGAAGTATTTCCTCTTCTGTTTTGGTTCTTTGACCACTTCGTACACGCGCCTTTGAGTAGCCAATGGTAGGCTGTAAAATGACGCAGATGACATCACTTCCTGTCGCGTGCTCCCTGCTGCGAATTTGACCTGCCAATCTGCGCCTTACGTCACTAACCTCGCACGCAGTTGCTGATGCTGTGTAGTTTTTCAAGCGCAGGTCCTGCGCAAACACAAACGTCTTCATGGTGTTATAGCTGTGGATGCAGCAAACTCTGGGATACGAAAACCTTGAGATTCAATACAGGCTATGTAGTACAGCAAACCGCTTAGGAAGCACAAACTATATATTCTATTAACACATATAACATATTTTCGAATGTCCCTGATACTTTTATCTAAATCATCTTAAATGTATATATTATATAGATTTATACATTTATACAGTTAGACATTTTTGCAATAATAGTAAATTTCTTTGCTCAACTGTAGCAGAAGAGCAGAACCCCGCGTAAGAAGTGAGTCCACAATATTCGAGTTATACTATAAACTGGAGGTTTAACCAGTGCTCCATACAGTCATACAGTACATCATCTTTGTGCGGTAATGTGAGTGACAAACAAGAAACGCCTTCGTAAGAAGGAAAGCGAGAAACCATAAAAAATAGTACTTTTGTATTTAAGGAGGGCTTTAAAAAAATGCGGCTTTCAAACTTGAGACGTCAATGTTTGCAGGGCCGTATTATCCAAAGACTGCCAAAGACGTACGAAAATTAAACGGTTTATGGAGAAATTTTGAGCATTTTTATGATTATGATAAAACTGTAACAAATATCTCTTCTTCAATAAATATGTTTTCGAACAAAATCCTAAATTTGTATTACCTATCTACCCATTGAATTCAATACACTCTTAAAAACGCCTCCATCTACAGGGCATAGGAAACAGAGGTTGCCCAGGACCCTGGAGGACTTTAATTCAGCTCAGACTGAAAGTGTTGGAACATTCCCACAGAGCTTGTAACATTGGACAATATATACAGTATCTGTGTTTTTTAATGTAAAACAATATAATGTTTTCAAACTACAGGGGTGCATTCAGCCTACTGTATCTACTGAGTGGGTTTGGCTTTTAGTAGCTAGTGGATCTCATCCCGTGATACTTTTCCATTGTCATTGTTTATTGTGTAATCCAGAAAAATGTACATTGTCCTTGTTCTTATACAAGAAATTGTATATGGCCAATAAAGTGAACAGATCTTAAGGTGTGGTGTTAGGGTCCTTGCGACAGAAGAGCAAATTCAGTATGCAGCTCCACACCACATTACTGGTTTCCTGGATGCTCACCAGACCCGAGTAAGAACCAACTGCAAAGATAAAAGAGGACTGTTTATCAAAGCTGTGTGGCTCTGATGATGTTCAGGTGTTGGAAGTGCTTTACATTCTCTAGTTGTATAAGTGCTCCAGATGAGTTCTGGCACATAAATTAAATACAACTGTTTATTTGCTCTGGATAGACATCCCACCCAGGGTGTGCTCTGCCTTGCTCCTGTTGCTTGCCGGGGTAGGCTCCAGCTCTCCTGTGATCCTGAATTGGAAGAAGCAGCTAGAAAATGGATGGATGGAATTCCTTTGGATAGACAATATTCCTTTAACAGTTAGAAAATAAAACGGTAAAATGGAGTAATTAGTAAGATTCAGATTTTTATTTTGGGTGAAACAAAAAATCATTTGCACTAAGGTTTCTAAAAAAAACCCAACGGGGCATTGCACAAACAGAGGAAAACCACATAATAAAAAAACTAAAATAGCGCTGAAAGAAAAGAATCCAGGCCCTTTCAGATTAAATTTTAAATTTTATTTAGATTCTTTCAATCTTACTTGAATGGAAGTGCTAAAAATAAAATAAAAACAGTGCAGTTTTAATTCGTTTTGATTTAATTCGTTTTCATGCCAGTTGTTACAGGGGTGGCCAGTTTTGCATTTTTCCCATTCCCAAAACCTGTCCATTCCAGCAGATGGCAGCAGTATGCAGAGGAGGGAAAGGCTTAGTAGCCCTGGATCCCTAAAAAGGACTTATGGGGATCCCCAATGGGAAAGTGCCATTTCAGAGACCTTTACTGAGCTTGAATGCCAAATCAGGTCAATGGTACCCTGCCACATCAGTCCTGTCCAACCTTCTCTTGTAGAACTTGGGGTGATGTGGTTTAAGCCACATTATTGTTAGATAGAATAAGAAGCCATCTAAAAGTGGCTTACAAAGGTGGATGACTTTTGTTTCTTTGACCGTACATACTTAAGAGGGCCTAGCATGCTCTTTCAAGGACAAATTGCAGTCATCAGGAATGGAGACAGGCATTCCCAAGCCACCATGAACACAGGGTTGAGGCAATCTTGGCAAAAAGGGTAGACTAGTCGGCGCAATGAGGTGCAGGTTCAACACAAAATCTCCATCCATCAGCCTTTAAGCTCACTCATCCTGCAGGCAGAATTGGTCATTTTACGTACCAAAACAACCAAACAAAGGTCCCTGGTGGGGACTCAATGCTTAACAGGCAGCTGGAGTCTCCATGCTCCCACCAGAATTTAGCAGACAGTGGGGGTATGTCCACCCTCACATGCAGAAGACACTGCAGAAGGAGAGGTAGTGCTGGGAACATACAGTACAAAGGAGATTTCCAACCCAAAGGTGCACCTACAAATCAATGCCCAATGTGTAGTCTCAGGTTCAAAATAATGCAAGGCAAGGGGTTGATTCTTTGGAGGCAAGTAAATCCATGACCAGAGAGTTCCTGCACCTCGGCTACAACACCCAAGTGGAGGTGACATTTACACTCTGTTTACAAACACAGGAGACACGGGATCTACCAGGATAAACATCTGGGGCTCATCCTGGTCAGAAAGTGATGAAATTCTGCCTCCTGCTCCTTGACCAGAATATTACCTGTTGTGGTCTATATACTTGACTGGGGTTCCTAATATTTTAGACTACTGACTTTATTGCATTTGAAAGACAACTGCACACTATCTGGAGATTTGCAATTGGACCTACGCTGTGTTCTGATTTTGTTCCATTCTCTTACTAGAAGATCATCCACATTTAGTGTGTATTTTTTGTTCATTGCTATTGGCCGTCATTGTTTCCCAATGTTTTTTATTTGTTTTGAGTGGTTTTTAATTAATCTCTTTGAGTACTTTTTTCACGGGAACCATTTTTTGAAAACTCTGTTACAAGTTTTTGTTTTTGTGACATGTTTTATTTCAGCGGTCTCATTAAATTTTCTGAAGACAGGAGCCACAGCACACTCCTTTGGAAGGAAATGTCAGTTTTATTTACCAGATGCAATTAAGGGGAAAAAACATTTAAATTAACAAATCAGCCTTTATTACAATGTGATAATATTGACTCATCTAATAGATGAAGAGGGGAACAGGGGCTCTATAAAATATTTTTTGTTTACCAGAGATGTAACTCAATTATCTTCCTGAATTTATAATTGCTATTCTACCACTGCTTAATCTAAACAGATGGTAATTTTACTGCACTACTGTAAAATCAATTAAATTATACACTATTAAAATATTATACAAAACTGTGCATATCGTGCCCAGAACTTATCAACGTAAATGCTAATTTGAATTTTTAATTTTACTGTCTACCCGTTTGAAACAATGTATTGAATATCTATAGCTTTTCGTTTCTCAGTTTCAGAATAATCTTAAGAAAAGTACCAAATGTACCCATTACAACGGGGGAAAAAAATAAGGATCATAATGTTAATTCCAGCTGGTGAAGGCAGTATAGTTTTGATATGCAACAATGCGACACAACTATATCCGATGTCGTACTCTGTTAGGCTGCTGCAAATTGAAAAGTAGATGGAGACAGATTTCTGTTAAGCAATGCTACTAGGCAAAAGTGTTTCTTGGACTTTAAAATCAAACAGAAAAACGCAGTTAAAAAAGCATGTGTTAAATGTGCTTTTGATGCGGGATCTACAGTATAATATTACATAATACTGCATTATTTAGCGCGGTCAGTCTTTGGACCGGACACTCCAATATAAACGCTTTTTTTTCCCGCAGTGCTTTGTTATTCAGGTACACGAGCGAATAAATATGTGCGTAGTTCACTGGTCATCAAAACAGATATTTGTGATAGTACACGCTTTGCCTTCTTTGTGACGTATTTAGTACATTTAGCTTTTAAATGCGCAAAGTCTGTGTTATGTAATTTATGCTGATTTACTTAACTGAGTTCAAACCATTGGGTTTAAAGGACATATTTAAAGATGTGATATGATGAACAAGCTGCTTTTCCTGTGTGACGTTATTTCTACAAATTCTTTCCCATTTTCATTATTTTGTTCTGTTGAGCATTTGTTGTTATTATCCAAGCATAGACTTACTTGCATTACAATACATACATTACTTATAAAATGGTAAATATATATTATTTAGATTGTATATCTCACTGCATAACGCGAACAGTGCTCTAACAACTGTTGAGTGTCTACCGAATGTAAAATAAATAATTCATATCACCAACATAACCTTTTATCTGTATGAATGAGGCAGCATATTGTATAGTTTCCCCCTAGGGGGGAAAGGTTTTAGAGGCAAGTTATACAGACTTAGTCCTGGTGCTGTAAGTAGCTTTGACAAAAAGTTTTTATGTATTTTCCAGTTCATCAAGGGTTTTATGCAGTACTACTGCTGAAACACAAACACTGGTGCTTCAAAAGCACTTAAATGTTTCAGCCGTTAACGATTCGACGCTTTTTAGAATTGTGGTCAGGCCTAAGTCAGTAATTGTTAAAAGGTAAACTATCCGATATTCTTTCGTTACATTTGGTAACTTCTGAGTTATCTGTTGACTTAAAAAAAACGTTTTCACGCAAAATATGCGTTATATCATGTAATTCTTGTTATAGTTAGCCAATAATTACTTTAAAACAACGAGATACGAGTGAAAGGCTTAAGCGTAACAAAAGCTGCTGAGTGCAAATTAATGACAGGGATGCTAAAACATGTCAATGCGGTAAAGCTATCCCTGTTATAAATCAAATGTCATCGCTACATACGCAGACGTTTACCCTCACGGTGATTGTATATGGACAACGAAGTACAAGATTTAACAAAAAATTATAAAGCCTGTTGGGATTGACAGCGTTATTTCAAACAGCTGTCCCATGTCAGACGCAACAGGGTCAAACTTATATTGTATGTACTGTACACTCTACTTCAAAACTGTACTGAGAATAGGAAATGCCAGTTATAGTTTAGAAGTCTTCTCTCTTGTGTGCAATGAGTGTATGTGGGTTTATACCAAAATGGATCCTTTTGTTCGCTGCCTGGATAGTACATGTAGCGCAGCGCGCAAAGAAAGCGCATTCCACGCAGTGCGGAATTAAACGGCTTTTTATTTGCAACCCGCCCGCTGCCGCACCTCCCCAATAGAACTTACTGTATAATTTCAATTTCGAAACGCATGCTCGCCAATATTATGTCTAAATAGCCATAGGCTACTTTCACTATTATAATGAGCCTATAATATTCTACAGTACGTGCTGTTTGCCTCGTTGCCCGGTGTGTCTCTTCTTGGTTTGGTTATTTCCGTAATATTGTGTTTCTAAGTTACGTTGCTGTGACGCACCACAAAACTAGCTGATGCTGGACAGCAACAGGCAGCTTGTTCTCCCGGACCTCTCCGGATATTCTTAAAAACACGGGTGGGGGGGGGAAGCAACAATAAGTCAGAGCAATTTTCCCCCCTAAACGTGCACTCGCTTGCACTGAAAACAACTCATGGATACAAACAAAACTGAGTTCAACGATACGTCCGACTCGAGAACTGCAGAAGGGTCCGTTCTCCGGACTGAAGCCGTGGAACACAGCAATCTAAAGGGGGGCGGAGAAGTGCCGTCAGACATCTGCAGTAAACATGCTGACGGTTTTGCACACTTGGATCAGCAAGACGTTTTCCTAAAAGATAGAAGGAGGGCGAGATCTCTGCCTGCTTATCCGGACCAAGCCACCTTGTTCAATGAGATTTCTCAGAGCTGCAGGAAAAGGGTTCAGTTTGCAGATGCGCTGGGTCTCAGTTTGGCCAGTGTGAAGCACTTCAGTGCTGCGGATGACCCGCATATCCCATCCAAAGTTTTCTCCAGGTTACAGACCTACCCTCCTCAACAAGACAGGGAGCTTCTCGGCGATCTCTGTGACAAATTAAAGGCCAGCCTGACACTGGACTGCTTGGTGCCTACTTTTAAACAGCCCGTGGAGTCACCCGATTTCGAAAATAGAGTGAAAGAAAACAAAGTGGCTTTGGAAAAGGTGACGGTCACTCATTTTGACATCCGAGGGCTTGTGAGAGTGCTTCATTTCGGCAGTAGAAGAGAAATAGGGGTGAGGTACACTTTCAATGACTGGCTGTCGTTCGTGGACGCGCAAGCCGTAGCAGTGCCAGGCGAAGACAGTACTACCTGCGGTGAGAAGTTTTCTTTCACGATGTACACACCCCCATTCTTGGACCCCAGCTGCTCAGTCCACTTTGCCGTTTATTGCAAGACGGACATTGGAGAATTCTGGGACAATAACCACGGCCAAAATTACACCTTCAGGTATCACTGCATGTCGCCATTCGAGACTGCTGCCTTTCGCGCAACCTAAGTGCCTCATATCTAGATGCC